GATTCGTTCAAAAACGTGGATTCATTCAGTATCGAAACACCGCTGTGTGTTGCTCAGAGACACACTCAACAATTCTGCTGTGGCTTTGATCGGAACTATTTTCGTCAGCGAAATTGAGCAAAAAAAGTCAATATTTTGTCTAAAATCTAAGTCACTTAATTTTAACTTCTTGTTTATTGAAATACTATTGTATAAAATCAGTGTCACATTGCAATCGTGTTATTGATATTCAGGGAAACATCATGGCCGTATAATGTTGCTTACCTAAATCATATTTTGTAAATATCTTTTTTTTTTCTACCGCAGTATGCATCTATAAATTTCTGTGAGTTACTTTGTATGTGCTGTCTCTCTCACACACTCACTCAGGCTGTGCAAGCCTCATCTGGCACTACATAAATACATTATCAGTCGCCGTTTACACTAAATGCAATTAAAATTACAATCATTCCTACGCGAAACGACATGTTTACACACGACTGAGTGTGCGCGTGGTTGTGACATTATTGCTGGCAATAATAGGATCGGCTCGGAAATCGGCAACACTGACTGACCGGACGAATATTTTGCAAATGTTAAACACTGCTGTGCATGCTTTTAGAGTATTTTACTTTCATTCATTCCATGTAGTTCCAAGCCAGTTCTATATCACCGTTCTATATTAATGCGCTGCTTTAATTGATGCACACACACTCTCTCCCTAATAATCTAAACAGGCACGTTTAGCCTGTGGACTTTAGTCAAAGAGAAGTTTGATATCAGCACCAGCTACCACATCATGACCTACTGCACTGAGACCATGACCTGCTAAAGCGCTTAATACTGAAGGAGAGAGAATGAGAGGGATGAAGAAGAAGAAAGGGAAGAATTATGACTGACTGGTATTGCAGGGTCTCAGTGGCGTTCCTCCAGTTGATGATCTCCAGCTTTTGTGGCCCCAGACCCCTGACACAGGGCCCCTCTCCCTTCTCATCCTGCTTGTCCATGTAGGGTCTGAGACGAACCGCCACACGAACCCGAGAGGTCCGTTTGGATCCAGCAGCACCATCGTTCACAGAAACACGCTGGGCCATTTCTGAGATCAACCATTATGACAGACTCGCCATCAAATATACACAAATACAAACATACATCCTGACATCTAAGGATGACAAATAAATACAGCATTGATATAAAACTAATAAAAGCAGCAATGTATATACTCTGGATGAAAAGCATTTGAGTTTTCTGAATGTTTATTAAAGCTGTACGGCCGCTTAATTAAAGCGCTGACGTGTTTCCCTTATTAAAAGCAAAACGCGCACATTCTACATAAATATATTAAACTTACCTATTGTGTTGTACAACTATTAACCCAAGTCTCGGTTTATGCAGTCTGCTCTCTGACAAAATATAAAGTGTTTTGCTAAACTAACTTTATTCACTACATCACCACGTCTCAGTAAACTCCTCAACAATGGCGCCCGTCGCTCCAAGCACGGTTATTTTCAAAAGATGAGAACTCCGCCCCCTTCACGAGATTTAACCAATCAAGACACCCGAATCCAGGAGCCCGCCTTCTTCTTTGAAATTTTAACGGAAGAAACAGACGCGTTGTATTGCCATCATTCGGCAGTATAGTGGAATAACACAGTATATTTGTAAAAATCAAAAATAGAAACATGTATGTCATGCAAGAAACAACGATATCTTCGAAAATAACTTGTTCATCCATTCAAAATCCACACCAGCCACTTAAACTTTCCTATCCAGCATTAGTTTCACATGGTGGATCTACAAAGGGTTCCTATTTGCTAAAGATCATATTTTTTATTGGTTTAGTTTCAATTAAACCTAAATTTGCAGCATATGGCATATGATTTGAGTATGCCAACTAAGCTGAAACCTTTTAACAGCTATCAATATATACCTAATCATTTTGTCAATATTACAGTCACAATACAAATCAAGAAAAAAAGTGAATAATAATGAAGCATTAATTTATAAAAGAGTTACTTTATTAAAAGCTTGCTTACTTTGGGTAATGTACAGCATAAATATGCCTTTTCCACACACACACACACACACACACACACACACACACACACCTTCAAATCTTACAGTGATTACTATATGAGTGTGCCAATTTTCATAAAATATTAATGCTTAATCTACGTGCAAATTCAGATTCTATATTTTGGTACCAAAAAAATCTAAAATATTGTGCCTTTAATGACAATGTACAAGTCTTACAACTTAGCATTTCCAATTTACAGTAACAGGCCTGTAGTATTTTCTTTGTAAAGTTCTATGTTACAGATGCAAGTATTAAATAATAATAAAAAAAATTGACACCTAAACATAAAAATGTTGTAATTTAATATTATTTACCTATTATCACATTGCAAATCCAAACAAATCGGGTAAAAACTTGCAGTGTTTTGCACGACTCTACAGAAAGACCACAGGAAGGCAAGTTAAATTAAATTATTATTTAACTGACCTGCTCTTTCCATAGCAGGAAAAACCAGGAGTAGCTAAAAAAATGTTTAAGAAGAAAGCTCACTGATATTCTTACATAACGTCCTGTGATGCAGCTTTCTTTAAGTCTAAAAGGAAACACAACACATTATTTTAAACTACATTTTAGATATACAGTTTTAAAATGTGTATTGCCCTTATTGGCCAACATCTAAACTGCTCATGTAAAACGCTTCAGTGATATTAATATATTAATCATAGATGCTACTGTTCTAGATTTCTGTAGCATCTCTATTCATAACCTGCTGTAAAATGTGCCAGTCGGAGGCTTTCCTTCACAGATCTGTATACTGTCCCTCTCACTGGACCGAGATCAGTTTTGCACCTTCATCTCCAGCATTTGAGTGGGGTTTGTATTCAGTGCAAGTTCATGTCAATCACATGTGGAAGATCGACTGAAATTCATTGAGTAAGAATTCTACAATCTGGTTCTGGAAGACCATGTAAGTGGCGATGTTTGCCGTCTCCACCTCCGGTTTGAGTAACGTTGGGCCGAAAACGATAGCCACGTTCTGCACAGTCATTCTGTTCTCATCACCATGTTGAATAACCCTGAAAGAAAGAGACAGAGAGACATGCTGTAGATACATACTGTAATGTTTATAAAAATATGTAAATACATAAATACATACGTATGTAAAATAAAAAACATACTTGCGTAAATGGCTAAAGAGGGCCTCCATTGTTTCACGGTTGGGTGGTAGCAAAGACCGTACCAGATTTCTCATGTGTGCTATTTTATTGTAATAATCAGGGATTTCTGTATCAAATCACAAGAAAAATAATAAATTAAGTACAATTATCTCTGATAGATAGACCGAAAAAAGTTTTAAAATGAATGAAAATGTTTGTAGTTTAATGCATTTCTGTAGTTTAATATAACAATTTCCACCACAAATTATTTTATCAGCATAATAATCACAAAAAAAATCATTTTTTTGGAGTCAAAAAATCTGAGAAAAAAGTGTGAAAATTGTTCTATTTCGCATTTTTAGAGTTTATTTATTTTTAACTACAAATGATATTATCAGTATAATAATTATATTAATATTGTACAGTCAAAAAGTCAGAGAAAAAAAATTATATTTTGCATTTTTGTAGTATATTGTTAGTATAATGGCATTAAATAAAAATACAATAAATTAAATTAAATAAAAATATCAATATTGTTAAATAAGTAATAAAAATATCAATATTGTGGATTCAAAAAAGAGAAAAAAATTTTTTTGCATATTTTTTGTATTTTCACTACACATTATATTATCAGCATAATAATTATATTGAATAAAAATATGAGTCAAAAAAAATTAGAAAAAAAAAAATCATGAAAATTGTAGTTTAATACAATATTACACTGTTACACTATTTATACACTATTTTCACTACAAATCTGTATTATCAGCATAATAATTTGGGGGAAGAACTGAAAAATGAACAGATTTCAGAACGTCTTTTTTTTTTTAGAAAGTATTTAGCGTGTCCTCCTCTTGCTTTTGTATGTAAGCAGCACTTGAGCTGCATAAACTCCACAAGTCTGTGTAAAATCTGATGATCATGTTATCTAGCTCAATTTAAGAATCAAAGCAAGGACATCTGACAAAAGAGTTCACAAATATCAGTGTCGGAAATGTGCTTTTATTTAGCTATTGAAAAACCCACACTGGAAACAGCTAGAGCCCCACTCTCATGTTTCTATGTACAGTCCATTCAATCGGGATCTTACTGATGCCATTGATGAAATCATTGAAGAGATTGTAAGGGAAGAGGGGCTCCTGCAGCTCTCTGAAGAAGAGCTTCAGCGCTCCTGTGATCACATGGATGTCCCAGTTCCCCTCCTCCAGGTCCAGATCCTCTGGAGAAACACACAGAGAAACTCACGAGTCAGTCAGAGAAACTGACCAAATATGAGAAGAAAAAAAAAAACGGAATGTGACAATTAATAAGTGGTGCTTCCCCTCGCAAGAATTCTATTTCTAGTGTTAGCATTAAATATAAAAAGTCTTAATTCTTAGAAAATGAATAGCACATCTCCCACATGAGTTGAGGTGTCACTTATCCACTGTCCAGGACAAATTACACACCAATAAATGTAATACTTAAAGTTGCAGCTCTTATTATGAGCAAATGTAATAGTGAAGAAACTAACAAGCTATAATAGAGAGTATGAAATCCTGGTGCAGACATGAAGTAAAGACCAAGTAAACTGAGCTGATGAAGCGTAAAATGCATCCTGATGAATTTTACCATGATCTGCTTTGAAACGCAGTTTCTGGATGACCGACAAATTCCCACTAACTCTGTAGAGTCCATCGATCCCCAGACCTGATGGATAACAACAATAAAAATCAGTTTATTTATCAGCAGATTTATTAAAAAGTTGCATTTTTAGGTTATTTTGCCTTAGCAGTCTAACAGTGCTCATCAATGTCAAAATGACTGAGATGGCCAATCAAATCAAAGTAGGTGGGCTTTAGACAGAAAACAAACATGAATTCCGGTGTGACACTTCCGTTTTTAATGATTAGAAGACTGTGAGGTCAGATATAAGTAACTAAATATTTAATACTTGACAACTACCGCCATAGTAATGTTAAACAATGCACAGCAATACCCAGTGATGAAAACTAAAAATTAAATCCTTTAATTATTCAATTCCTTTAAAGGGGTCCTATTATGCTCTTTTACAAAGTCTTGATTTTGTTTTGGAGGTGTACTAGAACTGGCTCTCATACTAGGTTGTTCGAAAAACACATTATTTTTCCACATATTTTACATTATTAGTATTACAACACCTCTCTCCTCAAGTCTGGCATGAACGCAAACAGCAACATTTCAGACTAACTAAAGTTGAAAAAGTGAAAAAGCATAATAGGACCCCTTTAAATAAAAAGACCATCAAAATTCCTCCCAAAAATAAAATAAAATAAAATAAAATGTTCCCTCCCAATGCTCATGACATGGTTTTGGTCTTGATATTTAATTATATAAATTATTTAAATTATCGATCCAAAGTCAATTTCAATAATCAACATGTTTGGCAGTGGTGTAAAAGTAACACACCTCTTTTCTCTACTGTCCGGATGCATTTCTCCACAAAGCTGGGCACTCTCGTCTTTTCTTGGCTGCAAAGATTGTGCAAGTGACATCCGAATACATTTTCTGTGGGAGAAAGATCAAAGAGGTCACATTAGAATCAGTAGAACCAAAATCTTCTGTACAAGCAGCAGGAAATGGATGAGGGAAAGCGGTGGGCGACCTCTGATATATCCTTTGTCTTTGACCGACTGCAGGGTGGGCCGCTTGAGGAGAAACTTCTTCAGTTTGGTACGGACCTTCTTCTGATCGGCTTCAGATGTTGAAGTGGATGAAGGATGACGAGATGCTAATGAACAAAAAGAGGCATTTGTACACACATTTTCTGTATCGTCTACAGTGCTTTCAGCATTTTCTGTTCAAAACATTTTGAGTATCTTTAGTTTTTTTATTAATGGATTAAATTTACTGTAATTATTTTCTCACATTTATTTTGTTAGGGGAAAAACAAATTTTTCAAAATATCTTCTTTTGTGTTTAACAGAAGAAAGAAAGCCATTCAAGTTGCTCAATAACATGAGGATAAGTGAATGATTTTCATTTTTGGGTGAACTATTCCTTTAACCTTTTGGTCGTCTTTGATCATTTTTAAATGAAAAAAGTTGATGAATTTTTAAAAAGTTTTGATCATTGCAATAGTACAAAACTTGGTGCCTTTATTGGCACTTGCTATGTTTGGTACTTGCTGTTGCAATCATTATTCTACATTTCTGTTTCTTAAATTTCTGTCTTGCTTGCCCCTTTATTATTTATTTCTGTTGTTATTATTGTACTGCTGTAGACTGCCTTAGCCTTACAAAAAGCATTTCAATGTACATTCTGTCACTGACACTTGTACATATGACAAATAAAACTTGAAACTATATAAACAAACATACACACACACACACACACATTAGTTTCTGTGAATTGTGGGGACTTCCCATAGACTTCTATTACTTTTATATTGACCAAACAATATTTTCTATCCCCTAACCCTAAACCTACCCCTTACAGAAAACCTGTTTGCATTGTTACACTTTCAGATAAACATCATTTACTATTTTTTATAATTTTTTCCCTCGTGGGGACCGCAGGCCAGTCCCCACAATGTCAAAAATTTCAGGTTTTACTATCCTTGTGGGGACATTTGGTCCCCACAATGTAGCATAAGCAAGTACACACACACACACAAATAGAAAAGTTTAAATAGTTAAAAAAAAGTTACACTGATCAAAAACGATCACCATATAAAATGGAAATTGAAAATGGAAATTATATGAAACTATAAAACATACAGTATATACGTCATCTAGTGGTTACACCATGGTATTGCATTTCCTTTATTTCTCCCAACAGATAGCCTTCCTCCTATGGATTTTAAAGGGGTCATATGATGCGGCTAAAAAGAACACTATTTTGTGTATTTGGTGTAATGAAATGTGTTTATGCGGTTTAAAGTTAAAAAAACACATTATTTTCCACATACTGTACATTATTGTTTCTCCTCTATGTTCATTAATGAGTTAATACAGCAAATGTACAGGATAATGTCTGACATCATGAACGTAAAGTAAATTATAGCCTTTAATGTTCACCTTAAAATGTCAAGCAGAAAATGCAGATTACGCTTTTACCCTTTTAAGTGTAGTAATGGTTTAGGAGCAAATCATTAAACAATCCATTGTACTCTTTAAAATGCGCATATAATAAAATCACAAGTATCCACAGATAAGAAGTGTTTTTCAGCACAATGTCAAGAATAGTTGGAGCTAAAACCCCTTAACCACAGTAAAACCATGATATTAATGTACATACTATCTGAACATTTTCATGCTTTATAGTAGGGATATAACGATTAACCACGAGCCGGTTGAAAATTGATTTAAATATGTGACGATTCAAATCGGTTGAGATGCTAAACAAATCGCGATTCAATTAGGGGTAGGAGTTTATATGAACGTGTGTCTGAGGGGAACTTACTGTCTTTCGATGGTATTTGCGCCACCTGCTGGCAGAGAGTGAATCTGCGTCTCATTCAGCTCGTCTGCTGTTTCGGTTTCATGCAGATATTTTTATGTATAGTTTCACAAAACTGAAGTCAGACCATTCTGTTTTTGCTTCAAATTTGGAAATTATACAATGT